AAATGAATGTACCTCAACAGTTACATTTTTAGCTTCACTTTTTAATGAAGTACATTAGCTAGCTATACTGCGTTATTTAACACTATCTCGGTTTGAATAGCATTGCAGTGATATCCTCTAAAGCCAGATATACACTGTGTGGAATTAGAAATATTGTTCTTTGGTGACTCACACTGTACATTTGAAGAACGTTTAAAGCGACCAGTGAGTGTCCACCACAGTGTCTAACACGAGTCGTTTGTTAACAAGGCAGCACACTAGACTTACCTCACATGGTATTCACCTGGTATCAGATGTTGTTGTCGATGAATTTTTATGAGTATGAGTGAAAGAGCACAGTATTGGGCCAATAACAGTATCAGTATCTAAGCATCCCTCCTGACATTTTCATATAAATAAATCACAGGGCCAGGAGGGTTTTCTCATTTTTTCCTTGCCAGTCACTTGATAATATTTATTTTCTTTATTAGTTTTTAATTAATTTATTTAAGCAAGGGCCAGTACCACAGATTAGTCACTTAACTTTTAAAACATTTTCTTTTTTTCACTTTTATACTTGAGTAAGTTTAAATGTCAGTACTTTTTGACTTTCACTCATGTATAAGCTCTCATAATTTCACTTCTGTGTAGTTTCTAGGTGCTAGAGAGAGAGAGAGAGAGAGAGGGACAGTAGAAAGGAGGGCAGAAAATGTCAGAATGTGATGTAGAAAGACATCTGGGCAGTTGTTGTTGTGGGTGTGTGTGGGTGTGTGTGTGTGTGTGTGTGGTAACCCCCCATTCTCTTGACACCCCTGTTAATGGAGCCAGAGGGCAGGAAGGGCAGGGGGAGTTCTAAATTCCATATGCATGAAACAATAGAGGCAACAGAAGTTATAAAAACAACATGAACATGTGTGTCTCTCTCTCGCGCACACACACACACACACACTGTGTTGTAGGTGCTTGTACTAATGCAAAACAGCTGTAGAAACCTCTCTGCAGTACTCATGGTGGCCACCAGAGGTGCTGTAGGCTCATAAATGAAATAAATTCTTTGCAGAAGTGTGTGTGTGTGCGTGTGTGTGTGTGTGTGTAAGAGAGGGCAGGCAGCAGCCATTTTGAACTCGGATTTCATTTTACGAATCACACACCAGCCTGAGCCACTCATTGGTCCGGAGACTGTGTGTGTGTGTGTTTCAGATGATAATGTAAAGTGCCACAATAATGTCACACTTTAAAGATGGAATAATTTTCAAAAGTTAGATTATTAGTTTTATTGTTGTTGACATATCTAAACCTATTTTTTTAGCTTTGGGTAATTCTTACCAAGTGAGCCAATAGAAATGGTCCAAGTTTACTGACAAGAAAATTTTGGACCATTTTAAGAATGTAAAAAATATTTTATTTGTCTTGTAAAGTTACCATTGTGGAGATGCAAAGTTAAAACAGTAACAATATCTTGTTTGCGAGTGGGTGGGTGGGTGTGTGTGTGTGTGTGTGTGTGTGAGGGAGAGAGAGATAGAGAGAGGATTTCCTGCTAGCCTTTCCTGTTCACTGTTAAAAGTTGTCCTTTAGTTCCTTTTACACAATAGTGTTTATGGTTTATTCACCATTTATAGCCTTTTAAGGAGAGGAAAGAGAGAAGCACACCATAAACACAGTGCACCTCTCCTCCACTGCTGTGTGCAGAGGGTGGTAAACGAAGGCCAGGCTCGTAAAGGCTACTGTGGAGTTTAATTGTGCCTCTTTGCTCTTCTCTGAGCGTGTGTGTTGTGGTGTCAGTGGGTGGGTGTCCAGCTGCTCAGACTGCAGGACTGTGTTCTGCTGAAACCTCAGCTTAGAGTTCCATGTACTGTGGGCAGAGTGATTCTGTAGCTGGAGCTCTAATACTGCAGTCTCTCTGCTTTATACCCTGGCCTTCAGGAGCTCAGTTACAGCAGAGAGAGGGAGACAAAGAGGGAAAGAAAGAAGGACGGAAGTTAAATAGAAGGAGGGAAAGAAAGACGAAAAAGTTCAAGGAGGAAAGAAGTAAAGAAATATAAAAAGAACAGAAAAGGATGGAAGGGGGAAAAGAAAAGAAACAAAGAAGAGAGAAGAATTAAAAGAAGACAAAATGCTAGAAGGAAAAGAAAAAATAACAAAGAGGAGACAAAAAGAAAAGGAAGGAAAGAAAAAAGGACAACAAGGGAAAAAATACATAAAGAAGAAAGAAAAGGAATGCTAGAAGGAAACAGAAAAGAAAAAAAGCAGTGAAATAAAAAGAAAAAGAAAGAAGGATGGAAAGGAAGACGAAAAAAGACAGTAAGATAACATTAGAAGGAAACTAACCGAGGGGAAAAAAGTCAAAGGAAGAAAGGATACAGGCCAAAGGAGAGAGAGAGAGAGAGGAAATATTGTGTAAGGACTTGAGGAAGTGAATGCCAAGAAAAACAAAAGCGGCTCAGTTCAGTGTAGTGAGTCAGACACTATCCACAAAACTCTCATTACAGAGAGGGAGAGATGGGGAGATGGACAGAGTGAGAGAAGAAAGACTGGTCAGCGGTTCATTAGAGTGAGACAGAGGGGAAAAAGGCCTCATACAGAAAAAAGTCTGCTGCTGCGTGGGCTTGCCTAGTATTTGAAGTTGAAATCCAGCTAGTGTGTTTTGTTTTTTGTTTTTTCTTTTCTTCCTTTCTAAAAGTCTGGCGCTGAATCTCCAATGGTTCCCTGCTCAACACATACTGCAGTACATAGGTAGATAATGCCTCTTCCACCCAAACAGTGCATGGTATGTCTAACAAACAACCGTTTGGGATTCAGCCACGTTTCCCTAAAGAAACAAATAGTGCACAATTTGAGTGCAGAAGCCAGTTTTTCACAACTCACATACTGCACTTTTTATGGAGCGGGGAGCTATTTGAGCTTCAGCCTGTGTGTATGTGCTTGTAATGTAATGTAATGCAAAGCAAAGCTAGTCCTCTCTCTCTCTCTCTCTCTCTCTCTCTCTCTCTCTCTCTCTCTCTCTCTCTCTGAGTGCTTCCATATGCTGTGTAATCCAATATTCCACATAACACACTGGAGCCGAGTGGAAAGCACAGAATGAGAGAGGAGGAAAAAATGAAATGAAGAAAAAAGTTGAAAATGGAAGACAGACCCAATTTCCCCCAGCAGAGAGAGGGGTGGAGGAGAGTAAAATAAAGATGAGCAGATGGCAGAGCGAGAGAGCAACAAGAGGGACAGTGAAAAGAGAGAAAGAAAGAGAGTGAGACAAAGGGGGGGGGCAGTGGGGCCAAAAGAAAGTCAGACTGAGGGGCAATAGACACTATAGCAGAGGCCATGTGGTTGGAGCTACTGAGGGGTGTTTTGTTTATCACAGTAGAAATGTAGTCTGGGGAAGTCAAAGTGAGGGCATAATCAATGCATTTGCGCATGTGTGTGTGAAATAGTGTTTACTTAAAGCAGCAGTTTGTCAAAAACAGACACAGTGCACTACGTAGTTAAAAAAAATAATGCCTCTTTAGCCCAAACAGTACATGGTTATTTAACAAACAACCGTTTGGGTTTCAGCCACAACTTGCTCTTCAATTTACATTGTTAATTCATCACCATTTCCATGTGTAATGTAATCAGTACTTCATGTGCAATTTTCCATGTGCTATTCGGGTGAAATATCCTTACAGTGTAAATATTTTTTTGCTTTTTTGTTTTTGTTTATAATTATTTATATTGTTAATTTGTGTGAGTAGAGTTTGTGAAGGATAGAACTTATATTTTTATCTTTAGTATTGTATATATTGTTTATACAGTAACATCTAACAAACTGTAACCTTGTTAAGTAATTAACGAGGTTAATTACTTTGTTAATTCTCTTCTTGTTACTTCTTTTCTTGAGTGCCTTGCTATCCCTTTGCTGCTGTAGCACTGTGAATTTCCCCGTAGTGGGACTAATAAAGGATTATCTTATCCTAAAAATCACATACACTTTTCCTATTATGCAAATGTAATGCCAAAAATCATGGCATCAGTATTTTGTAGTTCTGCACTGGAGCTATGAGGGTAATGTAGATAATGAGTAATGGATGCTTTTATTATACCTAATCGCCCCATTTTACAAATGCAACACAGTAGTAGTGATTTTTATGAAATTTGTCCATACGTTTTACTTTTAACTTTCTAGCTAACTGCGTGTCATACAGTGTCAAACCACTCATGTATGTTACCTTAGCCTGCTAGCTCCAGTGCAAATCAAAAAAGCAAATTTCATATGTTGGCTGATTGACCACACTTCTGGTGAGGAGGAAATTGTGTAAATTAGATTTTTTTGCTGAACTGTTCCTTTTAAGGGGGCAGATGTGCCCTCTGTTAGAGTACAGCAGCTCTAAAACAAATGTGATTGTACAAACACCCCATCTGCGTTAGGGTTCTGCTGATGGGCTGGATGTGTGGATGTGGTTTTGTGTGGTAGTTTAGATTTTCTCCTGATGAGGGTGTTTTGTATCCGTTTCCTCAGTACATCCCCCCCCTGTGGTCAGCGCACTGACCTTGCCATGAGGACTGTTTTTCAGCTGCTGCCTCGGGTGACATGAATAACCTTTCCGTTCTGATTTGGCCTTTTGTGTTTGTTTTGTTTTTTTGTCTTTGCTCATCTCTGATCCCCTGGCTAGGCATGTACACACACACACACACACACACACACACACACTTGCTTTCATCACGTCTTTGACACTTTGCAGCTGGGAGTGAGAGAAGGGCTGAAGATCATTTTCGTCTGTCTCTGTTCATCCATATCTCTCTCTGTCTGCCTCAGTTCATCTGTCCATTTCTATATCTTTCTTCTTTCGTCTTCTGTTGATTTTCCCTCTCTCTCATTCTGCCTCAGTCGCTCAGTCTGTCTTCATTTATCTGGTCATCTGTAACTTTTTTGTTACTTTCTTTGCTCGGCTTTTGAATAGCAGAGCATGGCACAGTGATGTAGAAAATACATAAGTAGAAAAGTGTACTAACAAATTGATATGTGTATCTCTCTCTCTCTCTCTCTCTAGCAAAGAAAGACCAAGAAGGAGGGGAGGAGAAGGCTGCTCAGAAGAAGAAAGCGAAGGAGTTGAAAGTTCTTGACTCAAAGTCCTCTCAGAACCTCTGTGAGTACAGACATTGGCCCTTATTCGTCAACGTTGCTTACTGTCAAATCTGATCATAAAATGCAAATTTCACACTGTTTTGTTATTAATCAGTTTCATCTTTAGCATATCTGTACAAGCAGAATCAAGTCTGACAGGAGTGTGTGTAAATTTGACCATAACAAAAAATAAAAAAATAAAAATTAGATTTTCAGCTAACTAACCAAGATTTATTATCAGTAACATCTGTCGCACCAATAATAGGAATAAACATGGAAAAAATCAATGATGCTAATCATTTGTGCACGTGATGATCCAGTACAAAAGTGGATGTACATATTTTACATGCATATTGATATTAACAAATGCTGCAACTATTTTTGTGTTCCATTTAAAGACATATTACACTGTGGTATTGTTTCATACTCTTAATACTGCCCCAAAAATAAAAAGATGCATAACTCAGCTAGTTCAAAATCATTTTATACACTGCAATAATACAGCGGAAACCCTTTGTTCTTCTTTGAGTTGACATTGGAGACTCAGGTGAAATGGCATTCAAAAAGTTTACAGCTGCTGAAGTTGCTGCAGCAGTTTTCGAAAGCAGTGACATAACATTTTGATATGAAACATATTGGTATTATGTTCTATGCAAGTGCCTGCACATTCAAGATGACGTACAAAAATCAAGAACATGCCCTTAAACCCCAGAGGGTTAATACTGTAAAGTTTGGTCAGTCCCTCTACAGTCTTTGCACTGTTCTGTAAGATTGCTTTTCCACTCAAACTCTGAAGTGCAATTTAATATGTCTTTCTTCTCTAAGAAATCCAAGAGTTTTTTTTTCATATTTTTTTTCTGTGCTTTTATCTTGCAGCTATTTTCTTGGGATCAAACAGGCTGCCATATGAGGAGATAAAAAATGTCATTCTCGAGGTTAACGAGAAGGTGCTTACAGAAAACATGGTGCAGGTGTGTGCATGATTGCAATTTTGCATATAGTTTGCAACTTAACATGTAGTTTGCATACACACTAGGATCTCTTTTGCTTCTTATTTGACTTGTTTGTGTGGATTTTGTGTGTTTTTCAGAGTTTGCTGAAGTTGTTGCCTGAGCAGGAGCAGTTGAGCGTGTTATCAGAGTTAAAGGACGAGTATGAGGACCTTGCGGAGTCTGAACAATTTGGAGTGGTGGTAAGAAAAGCACACATGGCAGACCTCTGGTACAAAGCCACGCTTAGTAAATGCAAACAAACGCTACAAACGCCATAAATCACTGTTGTATAATGCCTCTTTATTTGATCATTTACCTTTTTCAAACATAGCAGATATCAACAAACTAATCAAAGAGTCTGTGATGTTGATATTAAAGAAGAATAATATAATTAGAAAAATGTCTTTTTAATGATTGAAAATGAATCAGGGAATTAATAAAACCTGAAGCTAATTTTAGCCATTTTTGTATTTATTGTTCTCTCAGATTCAGAGAAAGTTTATTGCCATCACCATGTTACATTAAATAACATTTAGCAAGTCATACCATTTGGAAGTCAATAAGAGATAATTGCATGGTAGATATTTCAAACAGGTTATTATATTTTAATTGCTAGCAAAAGCGTCATCAATCATATAATTACTCAGCCAGTTTAATTGTAAGAATGCACTCACTCTGCTGTTTTGTGTCTGTCTATCACACCAAACATGGAAAAGAGAAAGAAAAGCAGAGATTTGTCTGAGGACACATGGTCAATGTAAAGGCTACTAGACCACTTCAGAGTAGCTTGATGTTCTTGTGAGCACTGTTGCAAAACTGGTCATTGTCTGAATAAAAATGAGCTGCATGGTAGAAGACCCAGGAATACCCCAAAGCCAGACTGAATGCATGTTGAAAAGCCCTGAGAATCCTCAGATTAAAAAATGTTAGAACTTTTGGTAAATATCACTCCAACTCTGTGTTCACAGGGGAAAATAAAATTAAGCTCAAAGAAAAGAACACAATCCCTACTGTTAATCTTGATTGCTCACTAATGTTTTGGGGCTTTGCTTTGGTGCCTCTGGCACTGGGATGATGAAGTCATAAGATAATCAAGGCATTTTGAAGCAGATTGTTTAGTTGAATGTGAGAAAGCAGTATCAGTTGCAGGTCGTGGGTCCTCCAGCAGGATAATGAGACAAAACATCCCTCAAAAAGCACCCAAGAAAGGATGAGAAGAAAACAGTCTACTATTCTGAAGTGGCCTGCTCTGAGTCCTGATCTGAATAGCATTGAGCATCTCTAGAAAGAGTTTAAACTCTGTTGGGTGAAGACTCGTCAAACCTGAGTGGACTGGAGCATTTTGCTCAAGAAAAGTCAAAGCTACCAGTTAAGAAGTGTAGAAATCTAATTTAGAGCGTCAAAAAGAGCTTGGCTGAAGTCCTTGGTCTGAAGGTTGTGCTATGATATATTGAGTCAGGAATCCCAATATTTTTATCCATACCTTTTTCATTTGTTTTCTTATTAAAAATACGCTACATGGCCAAAAGTATATTGACACTCTATATTGAAACTATAATTATTGAGTTCACGTGTTTCAGCCACTCCCATTACTAACAGGCGACTTTACACATGGCACTGCCACAAGTCAGTTCATCAAATTTCTGTCCTGCTCGATCTGCTCCGGTCAGCTGTAAGTGCTGTTATTGTAAAATGGCAGCATTTAGGAGCAGCAACAGTTCAGTCACAGAGTGGTAGACCATGCAAACTAAAAGAGCAATGCTGCCAAGTGCTGAAGTGCATAGTGTGTTAAAATCTGATCTTCTGTTGCATCACTTAGTACAGAGTTCCAGGCTGCCTCTAGTGGCAACATCAGCACAGGAACATTGCGTCAGGAGCTCCCTGAAATGAGTTTCCATGGCTGAGCAGCTGCACACAAGCCTAAAATCACTATACGCAATGTCAAGCGCTTGCCATGGTTTCACAAATTGGGTGTGGAGGAACTCCAGTGGGCTGGACTACGACCCCACTGAACACCTTTGGGATGAATTGGGACATTGATTGTGAGCCAGGCCCTATCGTCCAACATCAGTGCCTCACGAATGCTCTTTTCACTCATTGCACACAAATACCCACGGACATATTTCAAAACCTTGTAGAAAGCCTTCCCAGTAGAGTAGAGACTGTTACAGCTGCAAAGGAGGTCCAACCTCATATTAATACCAATGGTTTAGGAATGGCTTGTCCATCAAGCATATAGATGTAATGGTCAGGTGTCCACATACTTTTGTTTGACCAAATAGTGTCACATATAGTCACAAATGAGGTTTTTAAGGGTTAAGAAAATCAGGTTTTGAATTGTATGTTTTGTTTGTTTCTTGTTGGTGTTTTGAAAAAAAGTATAAGGGTACCACGTCTATATACACAATACTGTGTTTTAAAATTCTCTCTCTCTCTCTCTCTCTCTCTCTCTCTCTCTCTCTCTCGTTGCTATAGATCAGTTCGGTGAAGAAGCTGAAACCGCGGCTGAGCGCTATCCTGTTCCGTCTGCAGTTTGAGGAGCAAGTGAATAACGTGAAGCCGGACGTTGTGGCAGTGACTGCGGCATGTGAGGAGCTGGTTCAGAGTGAAAACTTCTCTCAGTTGCTGCAGATCATTCTGCTTGTTGGCAACTACATGAACGCCGGCTCACGCAATGCCAAGGCCTTTGGTTTCAGCATCAGCTATTTGTGCAAGGTCTCCCTCCCTTTCACATATTATCACACTCACAAATAAGTGCACCTATTTCCATTTGTAGAAACAAACACTGTATGACGATGTTTCATTTTGTTGGAGTCATTATGATCTCACTGTCTCTCTTTCTTTCTCTCACTCTCTCACTGTAGCTCAGGGACACTAAGTCAGCAGATCAGAAGCAGACCCTGCTGCACTTCCTGGCAGACCTATGTCAGGAGTCATATCCCAAGGTCATGCACTTCCCTGATGAGCTCATCCATCTGGAAAAAGCCAGCAGAGGTGCTTCCTTTTTTGTACTAGTGTAATTTAGTGTTTGTCCTGTTAGTGGTCAAATACTTTGTCATGGTCCTAAGAAAACCATGTATCTCTAAAGTAATAATTTCATAGGAGAAGGGAAAAAATCTTTGTTCCGAATAATTTTTGATCATTTCTGTTGGTCTGTTTTATAAGAAGTGTTTAGACAGCGTGAAAGTCAGCTGCCATTTTAAATAAGAACCGATAAATACTTAAATTTGACAGCATGTAATGCCAACAAAACATTTAAAGCAAAGAAAATCATTTGTGTTTTTATAGCACAGATTATAAAATAAACCTCTGTTTCTCACACAGTGTCAGCTGAGACACTACAGAAAAATCTGGATCAGATGGGCAAGCAGATAAAGAGTCTGGAGAAGGACATTGAGACTTTCCCTCCTCCTCAAAGTGAAAACGACAAATTTGTTGAGAAAATGACCATATCCTTCACAGTGCTTTAGGCTTTATTTGCCTATCTTTGGTGTATTTGATGATCTAGTATATGTGACTTGAAAATACCATATTGCCAGTCATTTTTATGTGCACTAATAACTTATAGTGTTGATTTTAAATGTTGTAAACTGGACATTTATATATATTTAGACTTTATGTATTTCAGTATTTTATATATTTTGGAAACAACAAGAAACATGCTGTAAACATCTGTGTGGCAGTTTGTCTGACTTGTGATCTAATACCCCACATAACATATGGCACATTCTGGTGCCCTTTCAATCTACTGAATAGACATATGAGACGACAGATGCTGCAGTAGTATAACATAAATGGTTTGCAAATCTTTGTTATGTTCTTCTGCATTGTACGTTTCTGCGGTGTTTTTTTAGCAGACCACATAAAGTTGAGATGTGCCTGTCGTGGTGTTCTTTAACTGTCCTGAGCACAGCTTTGTGGCGACTGCACGAGAGCAATTTGAAAAGTTGGAGCTGATGCATAACAACATGCAAAAGCAGTATGAGGACCTGGGGAAGTACTTTGTGTTTGACCCTAAGAAGATAACCCCAGAGGAGTTGTTTGGTGACCTAAACAACTTCAGGAACATGTTCCAGGTAAGGTCAAGCTGTGTGGTCTCAGAATGACCCTGTGATTTGACCCTTGTAAATTCAGACAGTTATTTCCTGTTCATATATAGATGCTATTAAAATAGTTAACAGCGATACTCAGAGCTGGGCAATGTCCATAAATAATTATTGTGATATCTGGATAATGAGTTGTATTGGTGTCTATGTGACTGCATCTAAGAAAAAACCCAAGATGCTTTCCATTATTACAGAGGAGACATACTGGAATTCAGCTGTAATTATTGGGAAATTATGAACTATTATATAATTATACTACATAATATTCAGATGACAATGTAAAGTGTCTTAGTAGGGCCAAAACAAGCCTTGGCATAGATTCTACAAGTCTCCTGAACTGTACTAGAGGGATGGAGCACCGTTCTTCTGAAATACATTCCCTCAGTTGTTGTTTTTATGATGAGGTGGAGAGGGCTGTCTAGCGCGTCAGGCCTTAATCTCTCGTAGGTGTTCAGTTAGATTCAGATCAGGTAACTATGAAGGCCAGCATATGATTTACATTATTTACATACTCATCAAACTATTCAGTGACCCCTCGTGACCTGTAGATAGGTGCATTGTCACTCTGGAGAAGACCACTCCCATCAGGATAGAAATGTTTCATCATAGAGTAAATGTGATCAGAGTATCTTTTGTGACTCCACAGTGGAAATAACAGCCATTGATGTTGAGGGGGGTAGGATGGGTGGTTGCACCTGAGGTCTACCACCATCTCCATAGTTTTTTTGCGTGTTCAGCAGCAGGTGGTTCCTGCTGCACCAAGACACCAGCTACTCGACTTCCTTTCTGTACACAGACTCATCACTGTTGGCTATGAGGCCCACCACGGTGGTGTCATCTGCAGACTTCAAAATCTGCAAAGCTGGTTCATTATTAGCAATGCGGTCATTGGTGTAGAGACTGAAGAGAAAGGTTGAGAGCGCACAACCTTGTGGTACTGTAGTACTGAGGGTCCAGGGGTCTGATGTTCCAGGGGACTGCGACTGCAGTCTCCACAACAACAAATCCCATTTTCTTAAGGATTTGTTTGTTTTTCAGGATATCCACAATCCACCGGCACATGGGATCTGGCACAGATAGCTTGAGACAGTTTAACCTGCAGCGGCTCTTGCTCTGTGGTGTTGAATGCCGAGCTGAAGTCCACAAACAGAACTCTAGCATAGGTTCCAGGACTGTTGAGATGCTGCAGCATGAACTGCAGGGCCAAGTAGACTGCATTAGCACTATATGCAAACTGCAGGGCATCCAGTAAAGGGTTTGTAAATAGCCTTCAGGTGGGCTAGGACATTCAAGGACATTCATGACTACAAAGGTCAGGGCTACTGGCCTGTAGTCATTAATCCAGTAATTTTTGTTGCTTTGGGGACTGGAATGGTAATGGAGGTTTTGAAACATGTGGGAACAAAGCAAAGTTCCAATGATTTGTTGAAGAGGTTTGTGAAAATTGGTGCTTGTTCATCATAGCAGTGCCTTAGGGTGGATGGAGAGACAAAGTCTGGTCCTGGCGCTTTTCTCATTATATGATATCTAACTTTACTTAACTAGTATTTAACTAGTCCGAACAATCAGAGCACTTAATCTGTATGGAAAATGCTTAGAATTTTCCTCAGACTGAATGTTGCTATCCGAGAACCCCCCAGCAGAGACAATGACCTGTTTTAACAATGTTTGGTCACTCACAGGTAAAAGGAATGAGAGATTACTTGGAAATATTATTTAATATTATTCAGCAAACTGTTACATTTGAAATGGGCTGTATATAATTCTTCATCAATTATCTTTCTCAAAATGGACAGTTATCTCCTGTCAAGAGCTGGCACTGTTTAATCTTCACCTATATCTGATAACATCACCCTGTTTCTCGGTCCCATACTGAAAATGTTGCATTGTCCGTTTTACTTGCTGTTCTTATATAGCGATTTTAGTTAATGGATATCAGTACTATAGATGTCCTTTGTAGGCTGTCAGAGATACAAAACAAACACACACACACACACACACAATTGAAAGATACAGTTACAGAAAGTACAACACCTGTGTACACAGGTCGTCTCCCAGCTGCAGGGTGTGTGTGTGAGAGAGACAGAGAGAGCAGCAGGTGGTAAGGCCATTATGTCGCCAGTGTTTGTTCAGTGCATTAAACACAGACATCCGTGCAGACACTGCCTTTTTTCATATTATTCAGGACTTGCTCACTCCTGCTCACACTATAAAGCACAGACATACAAAAACACAGATAGATATAAACAGATAACCTACCCTGTGTTTAGCAGATTTGCAACAATTTATATAAACAAGTAATACATTGAGGGAAGAAGTGAATGTAAACACCTTATTTGACACACAAAGGAAGCCTGTTATTATTTTGGTTTGAACTTTATCTGGTTTCATTGTTTCTATGTTCATGTGTGTTACAGCAAGCAGTGATTGAGAATCAGAAGCGTAAGGAGTCAGAGGAGAAGATGCGCAAGGCCAAACTGGCCCGAGAGAAAGCTGAGAAAGAGAAGGAGGAGAGACAGAAGAGAACGAATGCTGGACAGATCAACATCAACGACGGTATGTTTTTATGTGAGAGAAAGAAAGCAAAAGATGGGCATCTGTGTGAGCGTGTGTTTTTGACTAGAACTCACAGCTCTGTTGACAGAAACTACAGTTCTGTTGATCAACCACTGAGGGCAGTCATAGTCCATGAAATCTCTGAAAGTGTGCGCATATGTGTGTGTTTGGTTTTTGTGCAGTTTTATGACCAAGGTGTCCTGACTATCCTACAGTGTGAATACAAATGACATGGGCCTTACTTTAAGAGCTTTTCACAAAATCTACGTTTCATTTGTTTAAAACAGGAAGAGCAAAAGTTTTTTTTTTTGGTTGAAGTTTAATAAAACTAATAAAAACGTGTAATATTGAATGTACAGTAAAGTGAAAAAATCTTAAGAAACTAAGCATATTGTTTACAACTGTTTATCTTGGCAGCAAGTGTATTTTTAGCTGTAAAAGCATTAGAATATAATTTTAGAATGGGATTGTGATGAGGTGTAAGCAAGTTAGAAAACATAGGGTTTAGTTTCAGATTTCTCCGCAGTGCCACCCGCTATTACATATATTGGTTAAATTCCTTTGCCAGCACACCTAATTTAATTTAATGAAGAATTCACTAGCTAGTCCAGATATTGAATAATTACTACGAAATAATACTCGGCTGCCACAAGAAGAGCTTTAAAAATGAAAAGCTAAAACATTAACATATGTGAAGGGACTTTTTGATATTAATATTCTAATGTTTGTGTTTTTTCTGAACAAATGAGTGCTCACTGCCCAGTTAAATAACTTTTTAAACACAGTTTTCTTAGGCAACTAAACTGTTGCATAGTGTTGTATATACAACTCCATATCCTGATATTTTATTAAAGCAAATGTGTATATGAGAGAGAGAGAAAGAGAGAGAAAGGGGAAGGCACACAGCAAAATAGATGGGGTAAAGGGCTGGGAAACTGTGTAATAATTTGTGCCCTGGAATGTGAATCTGCTTTTTGCTTTTCATGGTTCAGTGAAGGAAGGAGGGATGGAGAGAAAGCAGCAGAAAAAATGGAGAAAATCTGTTTATCAGCCGCAAACACGCCTTTCAATGGGCTGCTAGTGTCCTTGCTTTTACAAAGCTCTTTAATAGGCTCTGCACTAAACACCAACCTTTACTACATCACAAATCAAATGTTTTACACACACATACATATACAAACTCTCTCTCTCTCTCTCTCTCTCTCTCTCTCTCTTCTCTCTCTCTCTCTCTCTCTCTCTCTCTCTCTCTCTCTGTGTGACCTACTTTTAGTTTTTACTTTTCCTCTCTTTTGGCTGCAGTTTATGTCTCTCAGGACTTTAAAATTCCACACTCATCTCTGTTTCACTACTCCAGCTGAGCTGTGTGTGACTTTGCACTTAAGTATCACGCACTGCTGAGTTTCTCATTAACAAAGAAATTATTGTAAAGGGCACATATATATTTTCCTAACTTTTTAAAAATAAGGTTTGATTTTAAATGTGAACACTTGCAAATTTCAAAAGGTATCATTCACTTCCCAGTCCATATGTGGAATCTAAGCTATAAAACAGTCAATTTGAATGAACTGGTTTTGTGAAGTCTCAAAGTGTATTTATGTATCGCCACCTAAACAGCAGTTTAGCTCTGGTTAAACGTTGCGGTTAAAAGTAGTGTTTCTGATGGAGTGTTGTTTGAATGAGGCACAATACAAAGCAGCGAATCCGAACACAGATCATCTTTACATCGTAAAGGTACAGCAACAAAATAGCCTGTTTAATCATAAAGGAGAAAGAGAGGTTGGAAAAATGTTCATTTAAAAATGAATTATGTAAAAATGGGCCGTTCAAATGTGTCTACAAACCACTAGACTAAAAAAAAATATGTAATTCACAGAAATAACCTGAGGACATATTATAGAAACGTTCTTTTTGTCCTAAGTGACGATCTGACAGGTCAATAGGGGTGGGAATCTCTAGGCACCTCACGATTCGATTACGATTCAGAGGGCTGCGATGCAATTATAAAACGATTATCGATGCATCTTTTTTTCTATATAGCATTTATATTTTCTCACTGTGTGAGCTCAAGTTTCGAGTTCAGGTTTCAAGTTAATTTGTCATTTGCACAACATGTCAGGACATTTATGCATTGAAATGCTTGTGGTGAGGCTCAGCTAATCACTCTACAGAAAGTAAATAAGTAAAAATAAAAATACAAGAAAAAACAACTGAAATATGTTAAATATACACAAAATATACACAGAGACAATATACATTTTAAAGTGACTAAGTGACTCTGTGTTATTGTTATTTAAAGTGACTTGGTACTTTTAAAGCAAAGTATTTGTAATGATCCATAATGAATTTACTTCCAATATCTTTTTTAATAAAACAAATGGAAGTGATGTGGCTGTCACACTAAAAAGTGGCAAAGCTGAAGTCAGCTTCTCTTTCGAATTCTCCCGTTCCACCTTAAATGGTGCCACATTTACATTCGGCACCTCAGTTAGAATTTAAGGTGGCACGGGTAAATTCGAACAGGAAGGTGGAGAATAAGAAGCGACTTCAGCCTCGTAAAACAGTCGAACGTTGAGAGATATTTAACTGATCTACTTCTGAGGAAAACGTTTTCTGGCGGAGATGGGAGGAAAGCGGCTGTAGCTGAAGCTTAAAGCAGAGCAAAGTAAATCTGCGTTTTCGTTTATACTGTTTAGCCTATATTAACACATTAACACATACTGAGACATACTGGACATTAAATGTTGTGGCTGCCAAGGTCGTCTGATTTTTGTTGAAAGGACAAAATGTTATCATTTTTGTTGTGACTCCTGATCTAACCTGGCTTTTAATGCAGAGGGAGCCGGTCGGATTTCTCACTCTTCCGCTTGTGTTTTTGTTATGTGCCGCCACAGACTGTCCGGGCGCTGCACTTCCGCACTTCCAAGTTCCGCCTTTTGTGTGCCGTCAACATTACGTTATAAATTAAATATTTAGAAAATCGATTTTTGGCATACAGAAGCAAATCTTAATTTAGGAATCTTATCTCACAGCATCTTAAGTTAAGAAATCTTAACTTACTCGATCAAAGTTGACAATCAACTGTTATGTCTGTTACCTAGCACCTGACCACGTGTGCACAACTGACATGTAAACTCGTTATCAAAATAATCAAGTTAGTTAGCCAGACAGCTGCCTTTACTGATGTAAAAAGCTCAAACAAGACTAAAGCGCAATAAACCTTAAGTTATGAATATTGTGACAGTACTTTGTGCTGTTTATCAGAGCATCGCCGCTCACCAGCTTCAGTTTCCATTTCTCAAACGCTTTAGCTGACCGCACTAGTGTTATTCCACCTAATAAACTGACACGCGTTCAGTTCTGTCTCCTCATTATTCACCACAATCACTGTAATATCTTATCTGACAAGTTTACATCAACATTAACACACAAAGGTATAAGGAGGGGGATGGTGGAGATCGTGTCTGCATAATCTGGGGTTTTTAAAACACAGAGAGAAAAAAACTCAGAAGTCAAAACGCCGTCTTCAGTGTAGATAAATGTAACGTCATAATGCTAGTTCTAGTGAACTATGCTGCCTGTCACTCAAAATGATAGAAACAGACGGTTGAGGTTGGGGTTGTCTTAAAGATGGCACAGTGTTTTGTATAATTAGGATGGTTCATAATGTAGGATAAGATTATGAACTTAAGAACTGTTGTTCTGTGATAGCTTCTGTCCTAAATTCAAACCTAACTGAAGCTGTCATGGTGACTAAACTGGTAAGATAAGATTTCAGGGTTAAAAAAAAAAAAATCTGTAATACGGCCCCTGGACTCAAAACAAAACTTGGCAGACATGTCAAGGGCGTGTCTTCTAACATCATAAAGCCTCAAATCTGCCACCTGTATGCAAATCTATCCTCCCTCAAGGGACCAAAGAAATAGCTATGTAACAGTATAGAAACTAGAGCTTATGTAAGAAACTGTAGCACTTATGGTGAAGATATTTTACAATGTTTATGAAAAGCAGTTGTGTTAACCACATACAGAGAGTGAGTAGAAGGTAGCGTCAGAACAAAGACCTCAGTGGTGTTTTCCCCCCCGTTTGTTCTATATTTCAGTTTCATTTTTTATTTTTTATTTCCCCCCGCCCCCTTCTCTATATCTCTCTTTCCCTCTTGCGTTCTCTCACATACTGTCATTCTCACACATGCACACACAGGGTTCATTGCCCTCTGAGGGTCATTGGACGTTTGGAATGCTCGGCCTTGTGCACACACTCACACTGAGAAACAGACAGCAATGTTCAGTGCACTGCTCTGAGCCTGGGAGTGAAGTGCGGAAAGGTCTGCAGTGTTTCACGTTTTATCAGTAGTTAGTCTTTTGTTACAGTCAGTCCTCTGTTTGAGTTTTGTTCCCACTGCTGGATCTCTGAGTCCTGCACTGTTCTCTGTAATTCCTTCTATAATGCCTTCTGTAGCCCATAGACTGCATACAGAATAGTCCCAGTCTTCCCATGCATTCCTATAGCTGACATTCTTTCTAATCAGTAGGTTTCTTCTAATATGTACTCTGTTATGGCTTAAAAAAACCTTCAAACATGCTTCACATATGCCTGTTTAATAAGTATCACATTTCTTGTCCAGTTATGACTGTATGACTGAGCAATGAATTATTTATTCTTTTTGAAACAAAAAATGAGCTGCTTTTCCAGAAATGATGTGTTCCAGGATGTGTGTTGGACTGAAAAACAGTTTCTTTTATGCTTTAGTCTGTCACCTCGCAGTCTGCCCAGTAGGTGTCAGTACAGTTAGAAAGATAGGAAGACTGCATCTGCTCATAAGAGTATGTGTGTCAGTGGGGGTTGTGCAACAGCATCCCAAGTATAACAGAGACAGATGTCCGAATGGGATTGAGCTGTTTTGTCCTCACAGACATACAGACTTCAGTTCTCTCTTTAGGGCTTTTTGTGTACATAGTTCAGGAAATCATGTGTTTTATACACAGTATCGTGCACTCTCATTAGTCAGAATTGTTTTTTATTGGCCAAGATGTTACTTAGACATAGCTCAAATTAAAATAAACAAGTAATTAAATAGAATATAGGTTAGAAGGAAGAAAATTAAAATAAGTGTGTTTTAAGTTTGTTTGTATAGTGCTTTTTACAGTGTAGACTGTCACAAAGCAGCTTTACAGAAATCCAGGTCCAAAAGCTTCTAATGTGTAACCTAAAGGTGACAGTAGTCTGTGAGAGCAAGAACAAAGTAAAATAGTGCAAGTCATGAAGATGTACTGTGGCTAAAATGAGACAGTCTGTATTAAAGGTTTATATGTACAGAGAGAGCAGTTTTGTGAATGTGAGTGAATTCCCATATATACAGATTTAATTATATTTATGCTGTAACTAAACATAGACGGCACTAAACAAGTTGTGCCACTCCCTTTGAGTCTCTGAATAGAAGAGTCACCATAAGGGGTGCTAGAGCTTCACAGATGTGAATGTGTTTGGTGATGTATTCACCAAAATGACCATAAGGGGTGCCAAAAGCTCACAAATGGAGGCTGAAACTTGTCCCAAAGACCAGATTCCCTAATTATATTATACAGCTTAGCAGAGCTTAGCAACTTGTGTGTTTGGAATAAGCTGTGTGTCGCTTCAAATGCTGCTCTGAGTGATTAAGGCATTTCTTGCTGCTTAGAAATATGTCAGATTGCAAGGACATCACCAGAATTCTCACCAGAATAGTTTAGTACTATATGACACATATTGCATATTAATATGAAATATAATCATTTTAAGTGTAATCAATATTATTTATCAATATTATTTATCAATAGCCTAGATCTCCAAACTGCCTATTGTTGATTATGAAGTTTCCATTAATAATTAACTACAGTAAAGCCCAAAACTAATCATGAACACAGTGTATTATTTATTTGTCACGCCTTTCTCCTCCAACCTCGTAACACATAAGAAAAGAATTTGCTGCCATAGTGAGAAGTGACTATCTTTGTAGAATGTGAAATGAATCATATTGTGCAGTTTTAGAAAGCTGAATGTGGATGTGGACACTGCTGTCATGCTGTATTTATAGTGTAGCTGTTAGACTTTTGCCTAAAGGCTATGTATATGTTTATATACACTCTTGTGTACTTAGGTACTTAGGCACATGGACACTTTTAGACTCGTAGTGTGTCACAAAAGCCTTTTATGAAGATGACAACAAACACACACAACTGTGGGATCCGTGAGTGAATTTATGCTGTACTTTGTGTTGTTGATTTGTTGATGAATTTAAAACAGAAAGTCTGAGATGCCAGAAACATAGATGACCTAAATTGGTTCCCATGCAGTTTTTGTGAGAATCCTCTGAGTGGCGTACCAGGACTGTTCAGAGCTGTGTGCATGTGTTTGTGTGTGTAAATGGATTCCCTTTTACATGCTGTGACAGCTCAGACATGGAGCCATCTGGCATCGGCTTTACAAGGGATTATAGCCTCCGTGTGTTTGAGCGTGCAGGTTTTTTTTTTCTTCTGTTTGGGTTTTTTTGCCCTTCTGTGAAGGGGTAAAAGGTGGTGAAAGGGTTGTGGTGTGGTACGTTGTGTGTGTGGTACATTGTGTGTGTGAATCCTACTTTTTCTGTACATTGTTATTCTACAAACATATGTGTGTGGTGCACATTTGCACTCTGTGTGAGTGAAGGGAAGGTCTGAGAAACTCATAACTCCTTTTTTTTTTTTTTATGAAGGTTGAAATAGTCAAAACTATCTCACCGAAGCAGCCACAACACTCAGGACATTTCCACTTAACACGTATCTACCGTACTTCTCTTCATACAATTGATTCTTTGTCCTTGCTTATATCAGTGCTATGTGCATGCATGGTCTCAATTATAGAAGTGGGTCAGTGCCCATCTGGGTTAATGTGACATGTTACTCTGTCCATGAGACCAGTGACTTCCTCTGTGCGTGTGTCATCACATCCTGCTTGGAGTGGGTGTCCCTACTCAATCTGCGTCCCCTGCCCGATTTGCACTGCACATGCGTGGATATAGGCCTGGATATAGGTTATTGCCATAAGTGGAGGGAAATAAACAGTTTTAAATATTAAACTCAACACATGACATTTAACTGCCTAACACTGGTTTCTATAATTACTGACAGCTTACCATAGCAGGTAAAGGAATAGATGTCTGTGGTGAATGGTTGAAGATTGTGATGTTCTTTTTCTTCACCACAGTCAGACTTGGTCACCTGATGATGATAATAATAGACTTGTACTGTGTTCTTACTGCACTTTACCTTTAATAAACAGACTTAAGTAACACTTTTAACAAGCTTTATTTCCTTTATTATTTTGCTTGAATTTACTTTATACTTTTTATTTATCACACTATGTGCCCTTTTAGCACTTTGTATTTTATTTTTAAGTACTTTGTCTTTATTTTTACCTGTGATATTCCTATTGCTTTCATTAATGCAAAGCACATGAATTGACCTTGTGTATGAAATAAGCTATATAAATAAACTTGCCTTGCCTAGCCTATAAAGTTTTCTTCCTCAGGAAAAACAGGAAAAATCTTCAATGTAAATGTAGTAGTTGTTCTTCGTTATTTAAAATGGACTGATACAAATGCTCCAAAATAGTTTGTAAGAAAATCCCTTTACCTTAACCTACATTAAAAGTAAAGAATGTTTTTGCTTTCCCCTGAAAAATTACATTTTTGGAGATCCTTGTTTTTCTTTGGGCAACAAAAATGAAAAGCTTCTTATATAGTTTACTGCATAGGTCATGAAAATGTGGCTTTTACGCTTAAATAGAGCACTATATGCTAAACAGAGAGTCGTGCAACTTATGTCTGAATATACGTAGCTTTACATTAGATATATAATAAACTATATGTTTAATGAACTGCAAAGGCCACTACATAGGAAGTAGGAACCATTTGAGATTCAGCCCAGCTTTCTCCATGCTATTGTTAGTGTAAAATGCATATAGGCTTAGAATGCTACTATACACAAAGAACCCAGATAGATAATCAAGCTTTCACTGATGAACAGTTAATTTTGTAGCTGCTACTTCATTTTGGAAGTGTGTGTGTGTGTGTGTGTGTGTGTGTGTGTGTGTGTGTGTGTGTGTGTGTGTGTGTGCGCGCGCATGTGCATGATCTCAGATATCCTTGTTTACATTTTCAGTGTCGGATACCTTATGGATAGCAGGGAAGTGTATGTTTATGTGCATGTCTACAGTAACAGGATTTGTTTGTGTGACTGTGCATGCATTATATAACTTTATCCCTTTTGTTTATTAGATGGTGATGAGACTGGTATCATGGACGACTTGCTGGAGGCGCTGCAATCTGGAGCTGCTTTCAGGAGAAAGAGAGGACCACGGCAAGCAGGTAATAAATTATTCTTTTTTTGATCAGTCAGGAAGCTAAAATAATCTTAAGAAACTAACTAACCAAATAGTAGACCATGGCTGTGAAACATCTTAAAGGGGAATTTAACTTTTTTTGTTTATTTATTTATTATGTTTTTATTTTTTAAATTAAACTCAAAGCAGTTTAATGTGAAGTGCTCTGTAGAGGAATTGTGTGCAGTAGTGTTGATAGCGGTTTTAATGCCTCTAAAAGCTACCTCACAGAAATGGATTGCATAAAATGGTTAATGAATACCTAGCCTGATGCCAGAGTCATTTCACATAGTTTTGAGACAAGGTTAATAAGGCCTAAAATGTGTGTATGTGTGTTTTTTGTTTTTTTTTTTGTTTGTTTTTTTTTATTATTAATTGTTAGTGGAGAGGTACATTAAGGGAGAAAACCGCTGTTTTACCATTATCAGTATTACACACACATATATATATATGTATATATATATGAATCGTTGACAGTAGTGAAGTATCTGATCCAAAGACATGAGTACAGGAAAACCAAAATGGTATGAAATGCAGAATCTTATAACTTCATATGTTTGCTATGTAATGTGCTTACATTACTTGTAACTACACACACACACACACACACACACACACACACACACACACAAAGATTAGAAACTTCACTGAATCCCCCCTGTTGTCTACCATCTGCCCTGTGCTCAGCAGCTCTGCGAAACAGAGGCTGTTTGTGTGTAAGGATTTTGGCAGGGTTAGTCATTTTCACCAGTGCTGGGGGTCTATAGAAGCTGCTGGGTGGTGTAGGGAATGTAGTGGGGGGTTAAAAGCTGATTAGCACTTTGATTTGAGAGGCTTTATTCCTCCACTCTTCACTCTGCCCTTCACTCTGTTCTCTTATAGGGTTATTTTGGCCATTACAACCCTTGTCTGCTTTCTTAGACTATAATTTGTGAGTTGATACCTTGATAGCAGAGCTGATTTAATTACGAATTAAATGCCTGAACAGCTGAAACTTCTCAAAAGCATGGAAGACTGAAGCAGAACTAGGTAGTTTTTCAGAATTAGTGTACACATGCAGTAAATATATATATATATATATATATATTTTTTTTTGGATTGTTATTTTTTGTTTGCAAGGCTTTTCAAAAACTGAAGTACATAACATTCTACACTCAATTTTACAAATTTTTATACTAATTGTTCATGAAAGGCTCACAAAAGAAGTGAAGTGACTCTATAATTTACGAACAAACCCAATTATTGGTGGTCAAAAGCAAATAGATACATGCTTTAAAAGTTGTGACCTATTTCTGTATGTTGTATGCAAAGGTTTGGACATGTAATTTTCTAAGTGAGAATAAGCCAACACATCCTCTACAGAGAACACACTTCTTAACCATTTAATGTACAATTACTGTTTATTTGCAGAATTTAACATATTAGGGGGGGAAATGTGGGAGGGCAGCATAAAATGTGGCCAATGCAAAAGTTATGGCTCATTTTATATTTTATTTTTCTGATATATTAACCTAAGAAAAGTAAATTTGGAAAATTAGGAAAATTCTATATATAGCCAAGTTTGTCCTCCATAAATGTTTTTTTCACTTAGAAAATTAAGGCGTAATTTGACCTGGGGTTTTCCAACGTAAATATATGTAAATATGTACATATATACAAACAGACATGTATAAATACATTCAAATGATATAATATTGAGGGTAAAATGGATAAATATCAATTAAACTTGTTAAATGTGCTCTTACAGTGTTTTCAAAAGTGTAGTTGTAGAAAAGCTGGCTAGGTGAGTTTTTTACACTTAAGTTTAAATTGTCAGTTAGCTCTTCTGACTTAATTAGGCAAAATGATTCATTTACAAACATAAACACAGTGACAACTTCTACTGCTGTCATCCGAGAAGAAATTCTCCAAACTTAACCTGCGTGTTTGCGTGTGTGTGTGTGTGTGTGTGTGTGTGTGTGTGTGTGTGTGTGTGTGTGTGTGTAACTGGATATCTGGCTGAATGAATCCAGATGTGGAGTAGTGTCACTTGCTGAAATAGCTTACTCACCCCCCCATGCTTCTGGTTCTTACTCTTTTTGTAATCGTTCTTGAATTCCTTCTCTCCCTGGTGCCTCTTTCTCTGGAGTACATATTTTCTGGGGTCTTCTCATAGTACCATATATGAATAACGGGAGCAGCTAAAACTAGAGGGAATAGGGGAAATATGTGGAGGGGTTAGTAGGAGTTATGAGAACCCTGACTCTATTTAATATAGTTTATAAGAGGAGTGCAGGTGGATTGAAGAGGGATAGCACTCTGAGGCTGTCACTCTGAGCTTCTCATTAGCTAATAGTTAAGCTAATAGTTAATCAGAAGAAGGACAGAGTCTGCAGAATTTTAAACTACATTTAGTGTTAATGCCCGTTTTCCACTTTCTCACACGTATTCACAGACCATATGAGCCCATATTACAATATGCTATATGAACAATAAGGATATGTTACAGTATACACTACCAGTCAAAAAATTGAATCAATATTTTCAGTAATATAAAGTCAGTGCGATGGTAGATAAAAAAAAAAGATTCTAATATACTAGTTTCCAAACTCTACATGTGCAAAGTCAAGTTTATATAATTACAAATAATTAGTTAGGAAACTGTAGTTAATAAAGGAATAAATAAAAAATAAGAAATTTTAGAAGTGTCACGAATGATAACCAGAGTAAATTATTCTGACTTTCATAATTTCATTTTTAATATTTTTTGTCTCCAAAATACTGAAAAAAGAATCAAAAAGGAGCTTTTGTTATCTAGTTTACAGTATTCAAGTCTGCTTTGAATACGTTTTTAGTGTATTTACAATAACGAATATTCATTCAAATCTTGGTTTCTAAGCTTTTGAATGGAAGTATGCATAAAAAATTAATAATTAGAAGAAGAAGGAAAAATAAAATATTATCACTATTGTTACTACTGTTTCTACTACTACTAATTACAATAATAATAATAATAATAATAATAATAAAAAACAGCTCTCTCGCTGTCTGTTTTTCTCTCTCTGTCATATCTGTAATGTATAGGTTCTTTCCTTTTTCTATTTTCATCAGTTATTTTAAAGTAAGTGAACATGGGGTAAACTGAAACTGTCTAAATGTGCCTGTGCATCCTGTGTGTGTGTTGGTGAGCTTTGTCCCTGTGTTGCTGGAGTGAGTCATAGTTAGTCTCATTTTTAGCCTTTCTGAGGAGGTGAGAGAGCTGTCTCCTGTTTCCCTGTGACACACAGCTTGTCTGACTCATCCCAGCATTCACCACAGACCATTCCCACACATACCCACTCACCCACACACACACACACACACACACACACACACACACACACACACACACTCTGATCCAATCCTTAACCACTTAGTCTGAAAAAAATAGCAAAACAAGTGCCCCCTCTCTCAGAAGTTACACGTATTGTACATTCCAAAAGAACCCCACCCTACAGCAACATTCCCGCTTACACACTCTCATTCTCATACGTACACACAGAGCCCACCACTTGAATTCCCTACTTGCCACTAGGGATGTACACAGGTACTCCAGTACTTGATTAATACGTGATAATCATCCACTGAGAAGAAAAGACCTTGTCTGTGTGACAAACCCTCATCAGCATCCACCGTCATACCGATTAGTGTTAGCTCATTAGCTCATATCAGAAGAGGCATCTTCCGTAACTCGTCAGACATGAAAACATATCAGTTTCCCTCAGCTATTTTTGAAAATTTAAAATATGGTTTCAAATTTTACCGTTTAGTACTATCATCTGATAACTGAGCCTACGGCCTTTTTTCTTTTTTTCCTGCAGTTAACTGGACATCCATTCATTAACACTTATGGATACATGAATATCAAGATTAGTCAGACTGCACATCCCTACTTATCACATGATCATTCTATGCAGGACCACGTTTATACACAAACACACACGCACACTTGTGGCTGGCTCTATAGATGTTGGCTGAATAGAAGCAGACTGCAGGCATGTGGCGAGGAGTCAGCAGGTGACCTTTCACCTCTCACCCCTGACCCAGTGTAATGACTGCAACCAACCAAAAGAGAGACTCTCAAATCCTCCCAGCAGCTGCTGAGCTACTGACACATTTTGCACACACACAAAATGCTAATTTGAACTCCCAGATCACTCTAGATACACACTATCATTCACTTTCTCTCTGTGTCGCCACGTAATGTTGGTTGGCGCTTCAGCCCTCCAGCAGAATTAAAATAGTCACACTAACCTTCATCTGACTGGGTGTTGTGAATAATCAATCTGAACAATGATGTTCTGTGTTTGGATTCTCTCTCTGTTACAGAAATAGCGAACTATATAGTGTGCTACTTTGAGACATTGTTCTAACTCTTGCGATGAATATTTGGGTCATTGCATGGTCAAGCACTATGTAGTGAATGAGTTATTGAGTGAATGACCAGAATAATGAGTTTAATCAAACACCCCGATACCTTACTGCAGAGCTGGGGGAAGTGCACACCAGCGAGGTTCATCAAAGGCTGTTAGCAGTATTTTAAACCTCTCCCTATTTTGTTGTGTTAAACAGCACTTGTATTTTGCTAGCAGCTGAAGTGGCTACTTGGCTAGCAAAAGCACATTGAACCCTTTAGCTCTTGAGCTTGAGCTCTCATAGCCAAGGTTCGATATAAGCTAAACTCTATAGTGATAAACATAGGCATCTTTTTACCATAAGCTAAAAAATAAAAATGAGGAACTAGCCAACTAAAATAAGTTACTAGAGTGAAATGAAAACAACTTACCAAAACAAACTGAAAATGAACTAAAACTATGATCGGTCACAAAATGAAAATTCTAATTCGTTATAATCTTTGGATCTGCATACATAATTACAATCATATCAATCATAGAAGCATACATTTATGAGCTGCTGGGCTTCAACCTGACTGTCATAGTTCTCAACTTCTGAATATATTTTGAACTGCGGTAATAAACATACTTAAATTAATGGTTAATTTATGACTATATAAATTTATTTTTAACCATTTAGAATTATCGAATTATAAGTATCCAGCTTAAGTGTTTTGAGTATTGGGATTTTCATTTGGCATTGCCAGCAAGTATTCAAAACCAGTAAAATGCTCTTCAGTCTGGCCCTAAATTCATCCTAAACGACATCCTAGCAAAAATATTGTGAAAGACGTCACATCTGTCCGTAGTCTCCCCTTCGAGTGCACGTGCACATTTGTGTGCTTGACTGCGCTTATTCTTATCTTTAATATATACGCACATCTGCTGGGTCACGACCTGGCATACAAAGCCTCCGACACACTCCTACCACCAGTGACCAGACACGCACACTACGTCACAAAAGAGTCTCTCTCTCACACACCCCTGTTCCTTGCAATAAAAGGCTAACATTGGTGCTCCATCACCAGCCAGTTTCACAAAGGAATGAATAAAGCAGCCAAGTTGGCCACTTCACCAAAAAAAAAAGAAACATTTTGTGTACACACACACACACGCACACACACTTTGTCAGAGGTCCACACAGAATGCCTGTGCAAAGGAGGACCGGCACTCACCATTCCAGAGAAGACCAGTTACTCCACAAAGAATACACACACATCTACAGGGTGCAGCCAAAACCTCTTTCTTTACACACACCTCTTATCCACTTCCAAAGCAAGCAGCCACCCAGCCATCCACCCTCCATCTCCTGCTGAGAGCACAATCATTGCACATTCTTAATGAAATTATACAGACATGCATTCAAACACACAGTGTGTCATCTCGTCTGCTTCCTCTTGGGGGTGCTGGTCACCTCAGATCTAAATATAGGTAAACATACTAAATATCCCAGAGTTGTACATCATCTCATATCCAGTCATATGCAAAAGTTTGGGCAACTTTGGCCGAATGACACAAAGTGCACTTCAGCAAATACTGCTGTTTATTTACTGAATTTAACATAGTGGGGGGAAAAAATAAATAAAACATAAAATGTGGCCTGTGCAAAAGTTATAAAATGTCATATTTTGCTTTATTTTTATCCCTTACATTAAACGAAAGATATTTTGCACTAATGTTTGCAGAAATGTGTTTTAAAATTAAGATGTTCCACATGTGCTGCACACTGCTGCTCAGAAGAGTAAAAAAAATTAAACCTTTTTTTTTTGTTCTTTAGCTATATCTTTCTTAATTTTTAAACTCAACAGTTCATTGAGTGTTGAATGAGCAAGAATGAGGCAGATAGAAGAGGAGAGTAGGAGAGATAAAGGAGTTCAGCCAAGTGCTTTAGTCTTTCTCATACCTTTTATATTATGTGGGTGGTTTACATAAGTTGAGTGTGTCAGTAGGGTAGTATGTGTGTGCTTGGATTTCACCCTCCCACAGGCAGGAGAGAGAAAGAAAAGATAGAGAGAGGACAGAGATAAGAGGAGGGAAAAAAGACAGATGTGAGGAAAGTGAGGAAGGAAATTAGATTGCTAATTAAAAATCACAGCTGGTCTTTATCTCTCATTTCCACAGATACAGGAGGTTACTGTTGATGTGGGTTGTTGCCGTAGATACAGACTGTGTAGGAATATGCTATCTTGGAACGTCCCATAGAGGAAAGTAGAGAACTTTAACAGAGTCCTGAGTTCAGGGAGGTCACACTTACGAGCCCTGAGCCTCTTTGATAGAGCCACTGGACACACTGAACTTTGACCTTGCTGTGGAGAATGTGCTTGAGTCGCTGACTCAAATGAGTATTGGTATTACCTACAGGATACATTTGGGAGAAGCTGTGTGGGTTGTGAAGCACTTTTCCTTAATGAAGATGAACTGTGGTGCAAAACTCAGCTTAAAGGGGAATTTCAGAACTTTGTGCATAATTAAATGCTTAAGACGTAAACAAAGTCATTCAGAGTGGTTTGAAGTGAAATGCTTTGTTCTAGAGAAACATTTTTTGAATTTGCCAACACATTTCTGTTATTAACCTTGCATATGAAAACTCAGAAGGTATGTAGATTCTCTAGTTGTTGTGGAAAGTGAATAAAATGGCTGTATTTCTAGCCATTGTGACTCATGGTTCCTATCACTGCCATTGTAAAGAAATCAATGTTGGTAAGTTTCTCTGTAGTGCACAATTTACCATCAAGCCACTCTGAATTACTTTATTTACTTCTAGACAGTTATGCAGAAATTTTGAAAAAGCGATGGAATTCCCCTTTAAAGGGATGCCACAGCATTTTTCAACTTAATCTCTATGTAATGCATCTGTAGCATACTTAAGATAACCGCAATTTTGAGCTGTTTTACTTCCTAGGAAAAGAGCCAGAAGCATTTTGATTCAGAAAACACTGTTACGCTTACAGTAGTAGCCAATAGAAAGTTGCTGAAGCCCTTTATAAGAAGTGCGTCTGAAAAAATGTCCATGGTAATTGAGATTGAGCTGAAAAACGTTGGAGTATTCCTTTGAGTGCTATTAGTTTTAGATATCCCAGACTGAAAGGTCATAGCCAGGACATTCACGTTAACAAGCACCACTTAGTGACCATTACAACACAGCACATGTTTATGTCTGTTATGAGGATTTGTTATTATATTACTATTATATTATAGACTGCAACTTTCTTTCATCCCCTCTCTTTCACACCACTCCTCTCACTCTCACTCTCACACACACACACACACACACACACATCCTCTAACTGATTTTTACCCCTCCAACAGACTCAGTGCTGTCATTGTCCCAGCTCATATTGGACACCTGCCCGGTAACTCTATTGTGTGTGTGTGTGTGTGCGCGCGTGTGCATGCTGTATTATACTGTACAATGCGATGTTTGTTGCAGATGTTTGTTTAGTGAACCATGAGGCTTTGTGATATCAATGGCAGTTTAGGTGTGTTCCTGAGAGTAAGCCAAACAGCCATTGACTTCCATTCATGGTTTATTTTGCATGGGTTTGTTCTGTGTGGCTGTTTTGCATGTATGATGGCTAATAATAAGTCATGTAATAAGATGGTAAACATTGACAACATAACGTTCAGGAACTGCTCATTAGAGGCAAGCAGGATCCATCGAATGCATGCCTCAAGAAACGAGATTGTATTAATATATTGCTACAGGTCTCATATGAACGAAACACCTCCCTATGTTTGGATTGAAGAGACGGCAAAATTTAAATAATCTGCCCTCTAAAGAAATGGTTCAAAGTTTCTGAAGGTTTTATTAACATAACACGTTTTTGTAGTTTTTTCATCACAAGTTACTATTTTAGAGTGCCAGAAATTACTGTAATGATATTCTATGAAGTATGCCCTTATCTGTGCTGTTGAGGCCGGTGTCACCATTAGGTTCTAGCTAACTGAGCTTTTGAGCTTTTTAAAAAGTTAATAGCAAATGATTTTGTCAGTAAAATCTAAATTTAAATACTGTGCATTAACATAATATCACAGTCATATTAAAGTCATTTTTCCCCCAGTTTTTTTTTCTGAAGTGGTTCAGAATTACTATTAAAATCTTGTTACATTAATGTACATTAGTTAAAAATGTTTTATTTTCAGTTAATTAATTCAAAGATGCACATTGTCATGACAGTGTTTGTAATTGAGAATCAGGTTGCTGAAGTATAGTGATAAGAATAGCAGTTGTTTCACTGTAACATGGAGTTTACTTTAAGCAACTACTATAATAACATCAGTGACAACAGCAACAATGAGCGTCCTTCTTGTACGAGAGTGTGGCACGCTCCAAAAGCCACTTTGCATGACCACACCCCGCCTCAAGCTCCTCACAGCAGCGCGGCCCGTGGTGGATGCCACACTTGTTGCCACAAAGGTTTTTTGTTTCTCTCTTTTTTTTTATTCATATTTTTGATGTGTACTATAAGTGTGTAGCTGTGTGTTGTGTGTTTATGGTCATGTCTGTGTGTCTGTTCCCAAGAGGTGCAACTGTGTAAAATTTCGCCTTGTTTATAGGAGATGGTAAATCCCATGGCCAGTAGATTGTCCCTGCTGCTCTCTAAGTAGGAAGGATGGCACTATTTTCCTTTTCCTGCATTACTCAACATGATGCTGCTGTGTGAACCGTCTTGGAGGAAGCACATGTTAGATGGACGGAGTTGGAAACTGTCAGTGACTCAAAAAGAAACTAAAAAAAAAAAAACTCAAAAAAGAAAAAAATTTGCTGTGGTATTTTTATTGTGTGTGTTCTACTATTGCGTCTATGATTCATCCAGTCACATTTGTATACTCAGAGTAATTTTTGAAAATAATAATAAAAATAAGTCAAATTAAATAGTTTTACTATTTAATATATAATGCGTTGAATAATTTCCAAAAAAACTTCTGATCGCATTGTCATGAGGTCAGGGATTTGCACCCTTAGTAAATAATGTAAAGCACTACTTGAGGAGTTTTGAGGTTGCCAGATTGAATACTTGTTAACCTTCTATCTCTTTCTCTTTCTCTCTCTCTCTCTCTCTCTCTCTCTCAGCCAATCGGCGAGGAGCTGGCCATGCAGTGACAAACATTCTAGCCAAAGAGCTGCTACAGGACAACAGTTCCAGTTCCGGGGCCAAAAAGAGCCGATTGGGCAGTGAGGCCAAAAAGGCGGAGCCAGTAGAAGATACAGGTTCACTGGAGGATCTCTTAGATGTTGCCCCATCAAGGTCAAGTTAGGGGCTGCATGTACTGACCCTGATCTTTCCTGCTGAGGGGATTGGACACAGTGCTTGGGGGCCAAATGTAAGCCACACCCTCAGATAAAGCCTTTGTGGGCAGAGCGTTGGCCAATTTCACTGTGGAGGGAGAGGCTCTTTAGGCCCGCCCTGCACTGAAGCTTACAGAGTGCTGCCACCACCCCTGTGCTCATCCACTGCCCTACTGTCAACATATTCCTCTGTTTTTCTGTTTTCTCTGTCTCATTATCTGAAGTAATAAGAAGCAACCCAAAGATTTTTAGAGCGTCTTTAATATTCATTATGCATCAGGTGATGGATACATTTTGACATTCCTGCACTCGGACCTAAAGATTTCTTTTTGTTGCTTTTTCATGTTTCATGTCATTTTTTTTTGTCTGTTCACAGGGCTTCAACTTTACTGTTGTTTTGCTAGAACTAACTGTACCTACTATGCAGAGCATACTGTATGCAAAGTGTTTTAAAATGGATGTACGGTTTGAGTGAATTTACATTAGCACAAGCAAAATGAGAAGTGCCAATTGTGTGTATTTGCGTGTATCAACACACTGTCCAATAGGAGTGTGCCTTAGGTGGAAGGGTTAGCCAATCACGAGCATCCTCTCTAACGGTTCAGTTCCCCTTTTTCTTAGGTGGGTGTATGTGTGTTACTGGGTTAATGAAGGTCTGGTACCTCGTCACAATATTTTTTCTTCATGTTCTGCTATTTCTGAGTTGTTTTATTTTGGTCCAAAACAGGCTCTTGTTGCAGATCTCATGGCTAAATTTAGACGAGTCTGTCATTATGTCACCACAGTGATGGAGCCTGTGCTTGTGTGAGCGCATGCGTGCGTTTATTCACCGCCGTCTGTAATTACTGTACTGCCTCAAATGTTATAAATTTTGCATCTCATAAACAGTGCTGTTTTCTGTGTGGGTGTGTGTGTGTGCACGTGTGTTTCCGTCCACGTGTGTGTGTGTGTGTGTCTGGGTGTGTTCGAGAGAGAGGTATACGTACACTGTAGTCTTTCAGATGAGTTAATGTACTCTTGATTACTGCCTCCAAACTGCTGAAGCAGACATATCTGCCCCCGCTTGTCTGTTTGTCTGTCTGTTGTACCCAATGAAAGTAATTCTGGCATTGCTTGAGCAAGATTAACTACATGCAGGAAAACTAGAGCTGTGCCCAGCCCCACCTGTCACATCTGCCAACTGTTAAAGGGGAACTCTACCGATTATACAAAATTTCTGCGCAGTTCAGTCATTGAGATGTAAACAAATTGCTCATTGTAGAGAAACTTAGATAACATAGCCAAAGCACAAATACAGCCAGTTTATTTGCTTTCCAAAATAGCCAGTGAACGTTTTTATATGAAATGTAGATAACGGTAGTGGTAATTTTGGGGGGAAAAAAAAATGTGGGTATTATTTTTCCTTAGAACAGCTTTCATGTGCACTGTTATGCAAAATTTTGGGCACCACTTGTCAAATTCTGTTTTGTTGATTTTCTTCGTGACAATAAATTAACATTCTCTACAGAGAATGTACTGCTGCACATTTTGATACACAATTACTGTATTTGCTGAATTTAACATTGGGAAAAAAATAAAAGTTGACACATTTAAAGTTTATGGCACATTTAATATGTTGTATTTTTTCAATATGTTAAATTTAGTAAATAGAAATTGTGCAGAAAATTATTTTATATATTATATTATGTTCTATTTCAGGCATCATATCTGTAACTATTTCATGTGATAACTTTCTGTGAGGGAGCTTTTAAAAACAACAAAACCAAAAAGATGTTTCATTCCTATCAGTACAGCTGAATTACACTCAACAATTCTAACTCTAAGTTTCTCTAGAACGGAGCATTTCACATCCAACCACTCTGAATGACTGAATTTTATTATGCAGAGGTTTTGACAAATCAGTGGAATTCCCATTTGACATTGCTGCAGCATCCGGAGATCATTTCAGGTGCTGGTGTCTCCATTCTCTGGCCAAAACAGGGGTAAGAACTGTGCTCAGATCAGGTGCAGAAGCCTGAATCTCATTCCTGTTTGTGACTGACCTCAGTTCAGCAGAATGTTGCTTACACGCTTAACATGTTATCAGGAAATGCTGTGCAGTGACCGTTTAGCCAACATACATGCTTCTAGTGATTTTTCTCAAGGTGCTTATTGTCTATAAAGAGGATTTTGGACCAACATTTTGGGACTTGAAACTTTTGTTCAAAGTTGACAAACCTATTTTAGCGTTAGCACTGAAAGGCTGAAAACACTGGATGTGAATAGAGCACAGTTAGCCTGTCTGAACATTTAAAAATGGCTTACCCTTGAAGCATTTTGGAGGTTGTACTTATGTAAATGTGTGAGAACTGCTGTAGAAGCCATGTTTACCGTTGTCATCAAAATCCTGAGAAGGAGTCAGTCTTCCATAAAACAGTTAGTACTATATGGATGTCTCTGTAACCCTGACGGTGAACAGTGTGTCAGTAGGCCTTTACACACTGCTCAGGCATTTTTGTTTGCTTGAAGAGCACTTTGCGATTGTATTGTGGAACGTTTATCCCTATAACTGCACATGTTCTAGTTTTGTATGAATCATCCTGACTCTCACAAGCTTGATCTCATCTGACAAACACAACTCAACAGTTTTTTTCCTTTTCTCCCATCGACACCTTCCAATTCTGCCTTTAGCAATAATGAACAGCATCAACAGTGTTACACCCTTTGGCTGTTGTCTACTATTAGGATTTATTCTTTAATGTCCAAGCTGGTGAGATGCAGGTTTTTTTGGCTGGATGTGTTCAGATGACAGCTGGTCAGATTTTAGAGTTTTCTGAGCGTGATCAGATCAGACTGTTGATCTCTGCTGGAGTTTGCATGTAAAGACCTTGCAAACCTTTACTGAACACCTGAACATTCCCTTTTCAAAGTTGTTACCTTGTTTTCAAAGTGACCTGTGTATATGCTGGGGATTTCCATCACTGGAGAAAAGAATACATATGGCTCATTCTTTTTTGTCCTGTTTTTTTTCCCATTTTTAAGGATTTTTTTCTATATAATTTTTTTATTGCTGATTGTTTTATTGTAAGAGTATTGTAATGAGAAATGCATTTGGTAATGTGTGTATATTGAATTATCTTTAGAGAAATTAATGCTTCCAATTATGTTGCCATTAAAAATATCTTCAATAGCATCTCATTCGTTCATTTTGTTTGTATGAAACACACACAGAGTGTGTGTAGTAGGTATGAATGATTGACTAAGATTGGAATCAGCAGATTTGTGCTTTAAACAAGTGAGTCTGCAGTTGGCCAGTTTATTACTTTTGATTTGTCTGTGTTGCCCTTTTATGAGATGAATAAAGTGAGGCAGGTAAGTTCACTCACACTGTTAGAACGCTGCTGCTACACTTGCACCAAAATGTCCTAGTGTAATTATGCATGACTTAGTGTGCTAGGAAGAAGAAAAAAAGAAATTATAATAACCATAAAAACTCACGACCGTGCAACCTAGTGTGTAGAACGCTTGTGAACTTTTGAAGATTTGAGGATTTGGAGACCTCTCTGGTAGAAATGTGTAATTGCACACTGTGCTGGAGAACATTTTGTAACCTCGAACATGCTTTGGACCCCTTCCCTGAGCAGATGAATCTGCTGATTGAGTGTGTTGAAAAAGTATTCAAAGACAACTCAATCAAAACTTGGTGATGGATGTGACTTCTGAGGATTATGAATTATCTTCTACTGCCGTCATATCTTTTATCAGGATGAAGTTTATTTTGCATTTGACGTAAATATCAAACCGGACCTTCTTTTTGAGCCTGTGCATGTGACGGTAATACATAACATTGATTATGACATAATACAAAAAATACTCCCTGACACCTCTGACTTTTAAATGATTACATTAGGCTTTACAGGATGACTCTCAGCATTGTTAACATATTTTAACCTTGTTTTTTCCCCTTGCTGATTCAGTGATGATTTTAGTGTGTTTGGAGTTAGCAATGTTTTGTTCTGGTAATATTTCAGTCACTTGAGTCAGTGGTCAGCCTGCACAAGGACAGACATGGAAACTTGTGTATAGTCTGTCTTCTGGCTTTTTATTTGAGTGAAAAATGCAGCTCTGATGTGGAATTTCCTTTGGCCTAATTCCAGGAGCTCTGTATTAGGAATGTTATACACGACCTCAGCCTGCATTATAACACAAAACCTATTCACTGCAATAACAGTTGCTTTGGATGTTCAGAAATGACAAAGTCAGATTAAACAGCTGCTGCCTTCTCTCTCTCTCTCTCTCTCTCTCTCTCTCTCTCTCTCTCTCTCTCTCTCTCTCTCTCTCTCTCTCTCTCTCTCTCTCTCTCTCTCTCTGTCTCTGTGTTTTTTCCACTTTTGGTTGCCAATGTTCCACAGCTAAATCTGATTGGGAGAACTTCCTGTTGCAGAGGTTGAAGGCCTCCCCTGATACAGGCACTCTGTCTCTCTCTCTTTCTCAATCTACCTCTCCTTTCCTCTCTCCATCCCCATCTGTCTTTTTCTTTCTCCACCTTTCTTTCCTTGTTTCTCATCACTGCTAACATATCCAAACTTCACAATCACAAGTTTTATGTTTCACCATTTGGGGGGGAAAAACACCAGCTTGGCATTGTGTGAAGATTTCATGATGACCAATAGAAATGGTTCAAAATGACCTACATTAAGATCTCATTCCATTAAAGTACATTCAAAATCTGAACGCTGTATTTACATGAGACTCATCCTCATCCTGAGGTTATAGTGAGCAGAGCAACATGTGCTAAACATCTATCACCATAACAGCAACCAGATTGTGTGTTGGTTGATTGACCTCACATGGCATTTAATGTGACTCATACAAAAAATGAAGGATAATTTATATCCTGAAATGTTTGTTTATGATCTTCCCTCTTCAACAGTTGTTCATTTGGGTTGACGTGACTAATTGGTTTTTACATTCATGCACTGATTTTGAGGTATGCTTTGGGTCATTGTCTCAGTATAATGTCCACATATGATTAAGGCTCGGCTTGATGGTTGAGACGGCCAAGTATTCTTTTGGCTAAAATGTCTCGGAGCTTATTGGAATTTATTATGCTGTTGATGTAAACAACAGCACCTGGATCTCTGGCAGCACATCAGCCTCAAATCTCAATTATTGCCATTAATGTGCTTTTCCTCATATGCATCAGTTGTGTTCTGCTTATTTTCACAGGCAGTAGGTTTCTTTTTTGGTCTTGTTTAACTACTGTACATCATCTCTGTTATAGTTCCAGTGACTCTGGGTTATGAGCCCAGGTGCATCTAATGTCTGTGTTTTTTCAGTTGTGTTGCTTGGCGTCTTTGCGCTTCTCCCTCTCTTCCTCAACAGACACAAGAACAGGCTTTTGCTGCTTCTTCCTGTCAGCTTTCTTCCAGATGGCCAAAGCTTTTTGATTATTGCCCTAACAGAGTCTAGTGGTATGTTTAATTCATCTTTGATTCCTCTTATGTGCTTCCTGTAGGTTGATATCTAGCTGCCTCTTTTAATGTGACTGTTCTTTGGCTCTCCTCATAGCAATGAATGGCTGGGATTTTACAAGCATTACCTCATTCTGCTGTTGTGAAGTTCCTTCTTCCAGATGTGAAACCAATAAGTGAGTATACAGAGTTATTATATTATATAAAAAAAAGTTAGTAAATGCAGTATAAACAGTAACCTTTAGTATTGTTACTTCTATTAACGTTGTATACACCCAGTCTTAGAAGTAGGTTTGTGAAAGTGTTACACAGCTCCCTGGTGCTATGACATTATGTTCATTTTCCTCAGCTTTGCCATTTGCCATAATAAAATCCACCACACTCATAGATTAAACTGTTAATTGTTACCAAATAATATATTTTCATTGCTTTGGAATGGTTCCTAATTGAGGTGTATGATGAAGCCTTGTGCGGATGGTCAAGCAGTACTACAAAGTGTGTGCCACATGACACAGTACATAACGTTACAACATAAACTAAATGTCCAAAAGTTTATAGACACCTGCTCACC